TAATCTGCTGCAAAAGCTCGATACTCAGCCATACTACGGACTCGAAATCCTTAGGTACCGTACTTTAACTTTTGAATCCACACTTTGACTCGGTTCCAAATACAATCAACTCTAAGGCCCTGCTAGCATAGGTACACCCTCTCAAAGAAGCAACCGACTATGACTAGGTTCCAAATACAATCAACTTCAAGACCCTGCTAGCACAGGTACACCCTCTCAAAGAAGCAACCGACTATGACTCGGTTCCAAATACAATCAACTCCAAGGCCCTGCTAGCACAGGTATACCCTCTCAAAGAAGCAACCGACTAAATTTATTTTTCTTGTACATCACATCCCCACGAAGCATAAACTCTGAGTCTTCCCAAAACTGAACATGAATCGAAAAGGCCAATTACAGCACACATTCCTCAAATCATTTGCTCAAATTACCACTGATGTTCTCTTTCCTTAGTCATGATAACCCGCCAATAAACCGATAACTAGAAACCGCACAAGTTGACAACTACGCAATCCAATCATAGACGGTGGGGCTCTCCTACTTAGCTTGAAGCTACCATTGCATAAATCTGGAACCCACCAAGATTCTTATCCCCTGTTGACATGATCTTGCACAACCAACCTGCCAAATTCCTCGAAATGCTTATGTTAAACATTTCATGAACATTCTGAATCACTAGCCACATTTACATATTCGACCTCTTACTGGATAGCCAGTAAAATTATTCGTAGAAGCTTCATCAACACAACGTAACTGCTAACCTGCTCACATGAGATATCCCACCTGTGGAAATTCCATGCCGACATCCTCCAACAATGCTGCACTGAGTACAATTACCACAAAACCAATAAACCATCCCGAGCATGTGCTCATTCACCAGCTGTACAAGTTCGTTCACTCCTCATGGACATCAACTAAAGGTGCGACAATACATTCCAATCCAAAGTCATGTTTTATCCTGCTTCATATTAAGCAACTCTCTCCTGTCACAACCAATCTTCCTCAATATAGCAGCCAATATTCCAAATTAAGCCCGTAGACCTAGTCACTGTCCACCATGAATCCCAAATCACTCTAACTTCCCCCAAGGCGTGTGGCTATCCTAACACAGAACCCATATGCTACTCTGCCACTCTCCCACTTTAGTCAAACCCTCATCCTTTAAGCAATACTCGACTCCTGTTTTCTTACACTTGGCCTTCTAGAAGTTTAACCACCGCAATACACCTTCCACGTGTGCTTCCTCATAAATGCCCAGTTGTGGCCGTAAATTAAATCCATCTCTGTAGCACTTAGAACCAATAGATCGCTACCACTCTAACCCTCTCTAAAGATCATCCTTCTCGAGCCACCAACATTAGGATTACCGATTCGATTCTGAACTACAGCACACTACGACAACTGACAGCCGCTTCCCCGGCACCATTCACAATACTCTGCCCCAAAGGCAATTTGAAGAAGGCCATAACACCGGCGAACTTAACACATTCAATCAAGGACGACGACACCATATCTCGGATGAAGATTCCACCACACGCAAAAATACTAAGTCTCTTTACTCTATCAATCCAATCTGAAAATTCTTAGTCCGATTGTCTTTCCCTCCGCTGGAAATAAAACACTGAACCTCTGAATGACACATTGATAAAAACCTCTTTTCGATTCATTCATTGCCTCGACGCATAGACAGGCATCCTACCATTACACAAACATGGTGCGATAACAACGCACGAATCGTCATAACAATTAATGCTAAATCTCAAAACCATAGGAAGTACTAATGCTGAGCTGAAACGACAGGACGGCCTTCCGCAAGGCAACGGTAATAGCCCAACCAAACACGCAGGCAAAGACATCCTGCATCATCTCCGTAGTACCATGACAATTCCTCGATTCCCAATATATAACAAGCACTTCACGTCGCATAAGATTGAATAGGAAAGAAATAAAGGTACAAGCCTCAAAAGAATCAATTCGCACGATGAGGAATTAAGAAGGGAAGTGCTCCTAACAGCCTTGTAGCCTCTCGAAGATAAGTACAGACGTCTCTGTACCGATCCGCAAGACTCTACTAGACTCGCTCATGACTCATGAGACCTAAGTGAACCTAGTGCTCTGATACCATGTTGTCACGACCCAATTTAAGTTACATAATAAACTTTAGTTACAAAGTAGTTAATTTAAATAATTTGAGTGCATATTAATTTTAAAGTTCTCATATATCCCTAAATAAGTTCTTTTCAAATTCAATTAGACCATTAACGGACAATAAAATTAAAAGACTTGCAAGATAGCAAACACTAGCATTAATCGTAATTAGACTAACTCATGAAGATTATAATTTGTTAACACATTCAATTAGAATAACTCATTTAATTATAATTTATTAACACATTCAATTAATATAGCATAATTAGTTAAGCCTAATTTTCTAAAAGCAATAAACACTAATAGAATAATATTATCCCCTAAATCAATAAACCCTAAATTTTTAAAAGTAATAAACACTAATAGAACAATAAATTAAACCCTAAAATAATAAATTATTTCTAAAATCAATAAACAAAATTAAGAGCATCCAACTTCATAAATTAAGAGCACTAAACCCTAGTTTATATAATTTATACACCATAAATTTACTAGTTTAAATAATTTATACACCTCTATTAGTGCATAATCAATTTTAGTTACAATGTAGTTCACTTTAATTACAATGTAGTTCAAAAACTCTATTTAGTCACATAAATCCAAAATAGACAAAAACCCTAAATAAATTGCATAAAATTATATTAGGCATGCAATAAATTAAACATTAAATAGCTAATAAGGTAGAACACTAACCTTGAAAGAGAATGGAAGTGATGGCGGCGGGAGGGGAGTGACAGTGGTGGAGGCGGCAGGCGGCGGGTGGCAGTGGCAGGCGGCAGGCGGAGAAACACTGGTGGGGTTGGAGGAGGTGGGGCTTCGATTTTGGGGGTGGAGGACTTGATTTTGGGTGGGATTTAGGTAAAAAGGTGTAAGAAAGAGAGATGAGAGAGAGAAAGGAGAGAGAGAGAGAGAGAGAGAGAGAGAGAGAGAAGATAAAAATGGGGAAGAAAACCCGTATGTTAGAAAAGATAAAAATGGGGAAGAAAACCCGTATGTTAGTCTAATTAGAATATTACCGACTAACTTCGGTCGAAAAAGTCGGTCGGTAATAATAAAATAACTTTTGACCATTTGACCTCAAGTATAAATCTTGAAGTTTAATGACTAGATGCTCCGGTATAATGAGTGACTAGATGCTCCAAGATGTGTACAATCACACAGTCTTGAATATTTTATTCCTGATCACCTTATTAGTACTTTGCTCGTATACCTCATTAGTGGATCAATTGAAAATTCAATTATATATATTCGATTAAAACTTACTATAATTGAATTAAATTGTATTAATACAACTTAAGTTGTATTCAATTATATTAAGGTGTATTAATACAATTAAATTCAATTATAGTAAATTTTAATCGAATATAATTAAATTTTTAATTGATCCACTGATGAAGTATCCGAACAAAGTATTAATAAGGTGATCGAGAATAAAACATTCAAGACTATGTAGATTGTACACATCTTGGAGCATCTAGTCACTCATTATACCAGAGCATCTAGTCACTTAAACTCCAAGATTTATTTTCTTATTTAGTCACCGATCAAGCATTCGAGTATGAACAGTTGAGAATAAATCACCAACGCANTGTGTGTGTGTGTGTGTGTGTCACGACCCAAAATCCACTATAGGTCGTGATGGCGCCTAACGTCGTCGTCAGGCAATCCAACAGTGCATTATCACATTAGTTATTCATTTTTATTATATATATACACACACACACACACAATCCACTATAGGTCGTGATGGTGCCTAACATCGCCGTCAGGCAATTCAACGATGCATTATCACATTAGTTATTCATTTTTATTACTTTCGAAATCATAAACTTTAATAAGGAAGGAAAATTAAACTTTTAAATCCAAGGGAACGTGCAAAAATTGTAGTTTATAAAAGAAATGAAAGGCAATGATAATATACAGAACCGTAAGCATCAACTAGTATACCCCAAAATCCGGTGTCACAAGTGGATGAGCATTTACTAAGGAGTACAATAATAATACAGCATCTGTCTAGAACGTAAATAAGACAGGATAAAGTAAGTAATACGATGGAGACTTTGTGGGCTGCGATACGTAGCCTGAAATTTGCAACTCACCATAAAGTCCCCTCAGCAGCTGCGCCTATACGCCAAGGTGACCACCAAATAAACATGTCAGATCCTGCACATTTAATGCAGAAGTGCAGCATGAGTACGTAAATCAACGCGTACCCAGTAAGTGTCTAGCCTAACCCCGGAGAAGTAGTGACGAGGGGTGGACATCGACACTTACTAGAGGTCCAATAAAGCAATATAATAAATCATAAGCATATATGAAGCATACAACAATAATGGGGTAAATCGGTAAGTTACATAATCTTCCAAAAATTTCTTTTAAAGGTATTAATTTCCTAATCTTGTATTCTACCTCAACAACTTAGATGTATCAAGTACCAGTATCAAACGGATAAGAAATATGTACCATATAAAATGCCAGGCATAAGTGAAAGGATAATCTTGTGAATATTCGGACTGCCAGCGAAATGACGAACGATTATGCCGACACTACCAGAAATTGGACCTATGGCAACAGTATTTTGGCAACGGTTTTATAACCGTTGCGATACACCGGCTATTGCAACGGTTTGAACCGTTGCGATAGACTTTTGGTTCTATTGTAATACCTTTGCAGCTGAACCGTTGGGAAAGTGAGAAAACCGTTGTCACAGACATTTCTATTATTTAGACTTGTCTATGGCAACGGTTCTGCGCAAATAATACCTAATGCAGCGATTCCTCATTCCCTTATTTTACCTTTTCCAATTTCCAAAAAAAAGGATTCTTTTAAGTCGTTTATATTAAAGGACTAAAAAAAATATTGACAGTTTTTCTTGCATTCTCGAACACATCGATGATATGAAGATAAACTTGGAAGCTTCTCTCTTTCCAACAATACATCGAAAGTCCGAACGAGTTATCTCCGAAGAACCAAGAAGCGAAGCTCTAACGTCTAATCTTCAAAGATCTGATGAACTGTAAATGAATCTCTCAAGGAGCTCTCAACCCATGAATCTTGTCATTAGTTGCTTGAATCGAAGGGAAGAGAACCTAGAACCTAACATATTGTCCTTGATTTTAAACCTTTTTCAGGTATTTTTCAATTTCTTACTCTGTAAAATATTATTCCATGGTGGAGATTTATGTGTATGTGTTTTTGTAGTTACGGTTTCGAATTTATGTGAATTTTAAAAATTTCCTGTTCTTTAACAGAATTAATCTTCAACCTTCTTTAAGTGTTTCTCTATCTCTAATAATTAGGGTTTCGAACTGCGTATCTCTATTGCTCTGTGTGTATGTTTTTGTGTGGGCATACGTTTCTTCCCTTTTTTGTTGCATTTTGATCATATGCGTGTACCTTTATTTTTGTTACTTTTGTTAGGTGTTTTCCTAATTTTCTTACCATATTTGGTTTTTCTATCTCTTGAAGGAAAGGGCAACATATTTACAATAATAGGATTTTCCTTCTCGTACAAGGAAATTATAAATCTTTCATATTGGCTAGTCATTTATCTTGTAGGGAAAGGTTTTAGACCTCTATAAATTGAGGATCCTTCCTTCTCATTTATCAGCATCCACAATATAGCCATATCGGGTTTGACAGTCGTGTTTAGGGGGAGAACTTTACAGGACAAGTGTTAGTGTGTCACTTGTGTTTGACTCTTCGTGAGGTTGCTCTCTCGATATTTTGTACTCTCTTTTAATATAGTGGATTGCTCATCTCCGCCGCGGACGTAGGTCAATTGACCGAACCACGTTAAATGTTTGTGTTTCTTTTGGTAGATTTTTCTTTTACTTTCTGATTTATCGTCGTTCAAGGTTTGTTTTACTAGTTCCCGCATGACACCTGATTATTTCTGTCCTAACAACTTTTTGGGTTAGTTTGATTTTTCTATTTTTCTTTGTTCTATTAATGGAAACAGTAGCATTTCTTCCGTTAAAGTTGTTGTTTGGGGTCTGGTTAATTTTCTACAGTGTAGAGGAGGAGAAGAGGGCGAATAGGGAGCATTATAAGTTGGCTAAGAAAGAGGCAAAGCTAGCAGTTACGGCGGCCAAGACTGCAACTTTTAGTCATTTGTATAAGGAACTCGAGGGCCGAGGTGGGGATAAGAGGTTGTTTAGATTAGTCAAGGCGCGTGACTTAGACCAAGTGAAGTGCATCAAAGACGAAGAAGGTAGAGTTTTGTTCGATGAGGGGCGTATCCGTTGGAGATGGCAGACCTACTTTCATAATCTCTTGAATGAAGAGGGGGACAGGAGCATTGTACAGGGTGATTTGGAACTCTCCGGGAGTTGTTGTGACTTTGGGTATTGTAGGCGGATTAGAGTTGATGAAGTTGAGAGGGCTATGCGTAAGATGAGCAAGGGCAAAGCGACCGGGCCGGATGAAATTCCGGTGGAGTTTTGAAAGAGCGTGGGCAAGGCAGACTTGGAGTGGCTCACTAGGTTATTTAATGTTATTTTTAGAACGAAGAAGATGCCCAACAAGACTGTTCTTTCTTTGTGTGATTTTTATCTACAACAGCACAAACCTTCTGCAACTGAAAGCTAATAGGACATATTTTTCCTGCTATAGAACACATAATTCTGACATTTCATTTAAAGTAGTCTTTACTCTCGCATGCGAAAGTATTAAGGTCATAATTAACAATTTCAATATTGGCCTGCTTCAAGGTTTTCATGTCTCAAAGTTTTTCAACGAGGAGTTCTAGACTTTTTACTAATTAGTTTTATTCACTCGAGTGCGATGAGAACCATTCATTAAGTTAATACATTGGTCATTTTCAAAAGTTCTACTATGCTCATCTCTTATAAGGCTTCAAAATATACATGGCTAAGATAATCTAGTTTCAACAATGTCACAGGGCTTGATAGGATCATATAAATATATTGAGTGGGCTCCTGTTTATTAGTTTTTTGGTTGTTTTCTTTTGGAGTATCATTGGGTTATAGAGTTCGAATTGATACACCAGAGAGTAAGAAATTTCAAAGGTTTCTAGTTTTGGTGATATTAATAGAAAATAACTTATATATTTTGCACCACATATTACAACAACAACATTTTGCACCACATTGTGAATCTCTTTTAATTGCAGAACTGTTTATATCTTTTAATTCTTTTATAAGACCGTCTTTTATATATAGAAAGATCGGCCATTAAGTATAAAGTACAGTAGTATGATTCCTTAGATTAAAATGGATACTACTGTATATAATTAAGCACTGCTTTATTATGATTGACTTAATCCAAATTGTTAAAACTCTAGTTTTTTTTAGGATTAATGATCATTTAAACTTGCGGATAACAATGTAATCCTGTTAAATATGCATACATTGAGTTGCCTCCCAGTTCCTAAAAGGATACTGGTTTTTTGCCTATATGTGTTACCTATTTATATTGCCTTTTATTCTGTTGTAGCTGAAGATGATTGACAATGTGCAAGAGGCTGATAGTGGAGCTTTTTCCGTTGTGAATTAAGTTTTCGACTCATAAAAATGAAAATTTGTTATTTAACTTCTGTCATTATTCTAGAATTTGTGGAATAAAAGAGCAACATGAGAATTCATTGGTTCATTCCATTGATCTCATTGTATTTTGCATATTTTGGTTATCTCAAATGAGTTTCATACTGTTGGTTATCTTGTATAGTCAGGCTTCATGAACACAAGTGAGTCAAGAGAATCATATAGTTATCATAAAATGATATAAGTTGACCTTCTTCATGTTTTTCTTAATATTAAAGATTGTTTGAACGTAACGTCTAGTCAAGTAAAAACAATTAAACATGATTCAGATGTCTTAGAGTGAGGGGTACATCTATTCTCTTACAATGATTGATATTTTTAGTTTAGCGGGCACTATTCGAGGCAATAAGTAGTAGCATCTTACCTCTGATATAGGACGCTTGATGAATTTGAGGCCAAAAAGGTCAGTATCCATTCAGAGTATTAAAACACCTTTTTTTTTTGTCATTTTAGAGTTGCTTTTGCATCTTTATTTACTTGGATGAAAAAGTAAGGTCTGAAACTCCTATTTATCACTTAGTATTTTGGATTGAGCACATATGCACTAGAGAGATGTAGATATCTCTATTGGCGTATGTGTTATACGCGATACGGATGAAACACTTCTTTCATTCCTTTTTATGATACACAGTTAACTGCCTATAAAGAATAACAAGCTAAATGGCTTAGACTCTCATTGTACTGTATGTTGCGATTTTGCTACTTTCGAGTATCTCACCTGGAAATGGATCTAACGGAGGAGGTCATGCATAAATTTAACTGATAGATAATTTCTCTGAGGCAGCAGAAAAAAACATTTGTTAAACTAGAAAGGGAGTGATTAATAGTCATTTAAAAGTTTGACAGGAAATACAGTCCATTAGTGAGATTAAGTGTTTAAACTTCATTAAAAAGCTTTACCTGCTTAGCTAAGGCTGCCTGCACAGTAGGAAAAGAGCGACCTGTAGTTACTGAAGCCAAGGAAACCCTCGAGTGAGTTTCTATTTTCTTGCAAGTTATACAGGTTCATGTAGCTAGTGGTTATTTTCCAACATGGAGAACCATAGATAGGGTGGTAAAATCTTCTTCACTAGTAAATGATAGTTTTAATTTTGTGCAAAATTTATTGTCTAGAAATTTTAAACTTTATTATCTGGAGTGCTTACGGCATCAATTAATGGCTCTTAAAACTAATTGGTATATATGTAATGTTTACATCTATAAGAAGAAAAGGTTTCCTTTGAAGTTTAGATCTGAAGTAAAATAATTGTTGGACTACTTGTGAATATATTTTTCTGTGAAACTTCTTTTAAATTATTTATATATAATCTTTTGTAGGTGAAGCAAATGAACAAAGGATAGATGATAGCAGTGAAGAAGCTTGGTAGTTTTGATTGATCCTTACTAGATTTTTTTAACGTCCTAGGAATCTTTTATGTTTGAACTTTTTGAAAATTTATGTATGTCAATCCTTAAATTGTCAAACATATTGTATATTTTGTTGTTATATATGGATAATACGAGTTGGATTTGCGATGTATACGAATTTAAGTGCATTCTATTTTATTATATAGGTAAATAATTATTTATTGTTAACTAAAAGGGTAAATGGTCACAAGAACAAAGCGTTGCAATAAACCAGAAAATCATTGCAATAGCTAAACGAATCGTTACAATAGTATTAATAAATCGTTGCAATAGCTCCTGATAACCGTTGCAATATGTTGTCCAAACCGTTGCAGTACACTCAACACCGTTGCTTAAAATAAAGTTGCAACGGGTTCAGAACTGTCCCACTAGACTAAATGAAGTTGCAACGGGTTCGGAACTGTCCCACTAGACTAAATGACCGTTGCAATTATGAGCATATGGCAGCGGTGTCTAAATGACCGTTGCAATTATGAGCATATGGCAGCGGGTCTAAAACCGTTGCAATAGATAGTCTATTGCAACGCTTTTGTAACCGTTATAATAAACCGTTGCAATATGTCTATTGGCACACGATCTGGTGGAACGGTTGTTAAATCGTTGCAATAGGTCTACTGCAATGGGTTTGCTATCTATGGCAACGGTTTTCAACTGTTGCAATAGGCCTATTTTCTAGGCGAGGTCGTTCGGCCCAATCCAAAATAATGTATACACTGCCGAAGGTCGAGCGGCATGAACCATGGATGCATCTATTATACTGTCGAGACGTTCCGCCTGCTCCACAAGAAAGGAAGAAAATTATCGAATTTATGAGACACGTGCTTACAATGTACTACATGAGCACAAAGTTAATATAACCTTTACCATTTATCAAATAACTTGCCAAAAACTCAAGGTGATAAGGTTCAGCCTAATACATTTCAATTATAAATTCAATAAATTAAGCCAGTCGAATGAGTTCAAATAATTCTAATATTACATGATAAAGTCCTAAGTTTACCCGCACATAAACATGCTTAGGCTACGTACGAACTCTCATCACCTCGTGCGTATATAACACCCACAACTAGTAGCACATAATAATTACATCCCCTAAGAGGTAGTTTCCCCCTCACAAGACTAGACAGGAGACTTACCTCGCTCCAAAGTTCTATAACTGACTCAAACGCCTCTCTAACACCTCAAACCAAATGCCCATTGATCCAAACTAGTCAAACAATCATGAAAACCAATAAACATATATCCCAACATCATGATTAATTAATTTACAACAATTCTCAACTTTGCTCGAAAAGTCAATAAAGTCAACCCTCGGGCCCACGTGCCCAAATTCCGAATATTTTCGAAGACAAACTTTACCCATAACACCACAAACTCAAATATATAATTTATTCCAAATTTCATATTCAATTTCGTGGTCAAAATTCAAAAATGCCAATTTCTATGTTTTCTACCAAAATCTCAAATTTCTACTAATTTTCAAGTTTTAATCCATGTATTTAACTCACAATATGCGGGGATTACTTACCTTGACATGGATGATAAAAATCTTCCCTCCAAGAGCTCCAACAATCGCCCAACCAAATAAAAATGTGAGAGAAATAGGCTAAGTCTTGAATTAAAAACACCCCACTGCCCAATGACTTTCACACCTGCGGACGAATTTGTCTCACCTGCAAGCTCGTTTTTGTGAGACAAAGCTCGCTTATACGAAGTGCACTGCCCAATTTCTCCATCGCACCTGTGGCAGAATGTACGCTTCTGCGCAAACGCAGGTGCGAGCCATCATTGCGCTTCTGCGCTTCCCATCGGTTCTGCGTTGCTAGAGACAGCATCTGCGATCACGCAGGTGCGGGAATTTCTTCGCACCTATAACCACTGCCTTGCCCCTTCCCCAGCCGCTTATTCAGCCTTCATCTCGCATCTGCGACAAATGCTTCGTAGAAGCGATTGCACCAGCAACAGAAAAATCCTAACAACTTCAACAAGACTCAAATCAATCTGAACCCCATCCGAAACTCACCCGAGCCATTTGGGCCTTAACCAAATGTACCAACACGTCCCAAAATACGATACGAACTTAGTCGAAACCTCAAATCACGCCAAACAATATCAAAACTATGAATCGACGATCGAAACCTTTCTTTAAACTTTGAAACATTCAAACTTCTCCGAACATGTCCGAATTATACTAAAACATCCCGGAATGACGCCAAATTTTGTGTGCAAGTCGTAAATTATGATACGATCCTATTCCAAGACTTGGAATCCCAAACGGATATCGATAACACCAAAGCCCACTTCAAACCAAACATAAGAAATTCTTAAACTTTTAAAATGCCAACTTTTTATAATAAGTGCCGAAATACTTTCGGACTACCCGATACTCAACCCGAACATATGCCCAAGTCTGAAATTATCGTACGTACCTATTAGAACCTTCAAATCTCGATTCCGAGATCGTTTACTTAAAAGTCAAACCTTAGTCAATTCTTCTAACTTAAAGTTTTCGAAATTAGAATTTTCCTTCCGAATCAACTCCGAACTTCCCAAAATCCAATTCTGACCGCAGTACAAGTTTTAATACATGAATTGAAACTACTCAAGGCCTCAAACCACCGAACGGCATGCTAAATCTCAAAACGACAGGTCGGGTCGTTACAGTGTGTGTATTATATATNGAGAGAGAGAGAGATTGATCCTTACTATATTTTTTTAATGTCCTAGGAATCTTTTATGCTTGAACTTTTTGAAAATTTATGAATGTCAATCCTTAAATTGTCAAACATATTGTATATTTTGTTGCTATATATGGATAATACGAGTTGGATTTGCGATGTATATGAATTTAAGTGCATTCAATTCTATTATATAGGTAGATAATTATATATTGTCAACTAAAAGGGTAAATGGTCACAAGAACAAAGCGTTGCAATAAACCAGAAAACCGTTGCAATAAACCGTTGCAATAGCTAAACGAATCGTTACAATAGTATTAATAAATCGTTGCAATAGCTCCTGATAACCGTTGCAATATGTTGTCCAAACCGTTGCAGTACACTCAACACCGTTGCTTAAAATAAAGTTGCAACGGGTTCAGAACTGTCCCACTAGACTAAATGACCGTTGCAATTATGAACATATGGTAGCGGGTCTAAAACCGTTGCAAATAGATAGTCTATTGCAACGCATTTGCAACCGTTATAATAAACCGTTGCAATAGGTCTACTGCAATGGGTTTGCTATCTATGGCAACGGTTTTTCAACTGTTACAATAGGCCTATTTTCTAGTAATGGCGAGGTCGTTCGGCCCGATCCAGAATAATGTGTACGCTACCGAGGGTCGAGCGGCATAAACCATAGATGCATCTATTATACTGCCGAGACGTTCCGCCCGCTCCACAAGAAAGGAAGAAAATTATCGAATTTATGAGACACATGCTTACAATGTAGTACATGAGCACAAAGTTAATATAACATTTACCGTTTCTCAAATAACTTGCCAACAACTCAAGGTGATAAGGTTCAGCCTAATATATACACATATTTCTAAGTCAATTTCAATTATAAATTCAATCAATTAAGCCATCCGAATGAGTACAAATAATTCTAATATTACATGATAAAGTTCTAAGTTTACCTGCACATAAACATGCTAAGGCTACGTACAGACTCTCGTCACCTCGTGCGTACATAGTACCCACAACTAGTAGCACATAACAATTACATCCCCTAGGGGGTAGTTTCCCCCTCACAAGGTTAGACAGGAGACTTACCTCGCTCCAAAGTTTCATAACCGACTCCAACGCCTCTCTAACACCTCAAGCCAAATGCCTGTCGATCCAAACTAGTCAAACAATCATGAAAATCAATAAACATATATCCCAACATCATGATTAATTAATTTACAACAATTCCCAACTCTGCTCGAAAAGTCAATAAAGTCAACCTTCGGACTCACGTGCCCGAATTTCGAATATTTTCGAAGACAAACTTTACTCATAACATCACAAACTCAAATATATAATTTATTCCAAATTTCATGTCCAATTTCGTGGTCAAAATTTAAAAATGTCAATTTCTAGGTTTTCTACCAAAATCCCAAATTTCTACTAATTTTCATGTTCAAATCCATATATAAACCATATATTTAAATCACAATATGCGGGGATTACTTACCTTGATATGGATGATAAAAATTTCCCCTCCAAGAGCTCCAAAAATCGCCCAACCAAATGAAAATGTGTGAGAAATAGGCTAAGTCTTGGATTAAAAACACCCCACTGTCCAACGACTTTCGCACCTGCGGACGAATTTGTCTCACTTGCGAGCTCGCTTTTGCAAGACAAAGCTTGCTTCTGCGAAGTGCACTGCCCAGTTTCTCCATCGCACCTGCGGCAGAATGTCCGCTTATGCACAAACGCAAGTGCGAGCCATCATTGCACTTCTATGCTTACCATCGCCTCTGCGTTGCTAGAGACCGCATCTGCGATCACGCAGGTGCGGAAATTTCTTCGCACCTACGACCTCTGCCTTGCCCCTTCTCCAACCACTTATTCGGCCTTTATCTCGCATCTGTGACAAACGCTTCACAGAAGCAATTGCACCAGCAACAGAAAAATCCTAGCAACTTCAACAAGGCTCAAATCGATCTGAACCCCATCCGAAACTCACCCGAACCATTCGGGCCTTAACCAAATATACCAACACGTGCTAGTTCATCTGTTTCATTATTTCTTTTTATTGCTACAAGAGACAAGCTTGTTACTAGGCTGATGCATGTTGCTCAATATTGTCTTGACAGTTATCTAATGTTGCTAAACTTTCCATTGTGGAGGTATAGATTTCAAAGTGAGGGTTGCCAGCTATAATTTTCTAATTATAATAAGTTATTCTATCCAAATGCAGTTATTTTTAGTGAAATGTTCTTTCGGAAATTTCATCTGCGCACAAGTTGTTTTTGGATATACTAGCTTTGAGTTGTTTTTCAGAACGCCTTTGGAATATGTATGTGCAGATAATAAATTGCATCGAGAAAATAAAATCAATACTGAAAAAAATATTGCAACAATCGTAGTATTTGATTTCAAATAATATGAGTGTACAATCTCTAT